CAAAGACGAACTTCTCTTTACGATCCGGCCATAGTGTATCGAGTAAAGTTGCTGCGAAGTCCTTAACTGTGTGGACAGAGGGCTGAAAAGGATGTTTTCTGGATAAGAACTGTTACTATACTGTGAAGTACACAATAAGTTACAGGAAGACATTTGTACACTCTTGAACAAAACACTTCTCCTTACATTTTAAGAATGAGGTGGGGAGATGCCCAGAACTTCCACATAAATGTACTTAAGCAAGCAGTATTTCTAAGGCCCAGAAGAAGATTATAAATAAATAAAAATCAACTACACACAGTCACGCAATGACCCCCTATAAGTCAGATATGCGGTAATTAAGGGACTTCTACACTAATAACGCAGGATGTCAAATAAAAGAGGGACTCATTTACGCGACACAGGCATTATAATAAAAAAACTGGACAATGAAGGTAGCCATAAGACGATGTTAGGAAATCAACACCAAAATTAATACAATAAATGACTTTCACTCAAAAACAACTCCAAATATTTTAAATAGCATTTTGCGGAACGCCTAGATTCGAAAGCTAACAAGTATTGGCGGAAAAATGCCCTGGCACCTGTCCTAACTGTGACCGCACCCCCCTCCCCCCACCCGCCCTCTCGGCCTAGTTTGCTCTGGTTGGACACCCTCAAAGCCACAGCAACGTAGATGCCTCTGAAACACACTACAACTTCCTTCCTCCTCTGCTACTGCCAGACAGGGGAACTCCTTCCCTGACCACGTGGTGTATGTCGGCTGGCCTATCCTGATGACGGCGGCGTCTGTTTCCGTAAAATGAGGTGGTATGGATTGGGGCACTATGCAGCACCTGCGGCAGTTGAGTCCGCTGTCTGTTGTCTACTACAAACGCGCTGGTGCGTTTGTGCTTAGTCAACGACATTCTCTTAGATTACTGCTGTGCAGTTTTCTAAACAGACGACTACGTCAATGGTCTGGTCAGACACCACCTATCCCATTGCAGTACGACAGAAGAACCAGTGTTAGTAGTCCCGGCCACCACTCGTCAGTCAGCTGTACCCATCCGCACTGTTCCTACAATTTAAAACATTGCATCAATCCATTCAATCGTACTCACGCGTGACATAATCATCACAATAGAAGACCTTTTTTATGTTTTCTCCACGCGGAGAGATCAGAAGCATCACTGTGTCATGAGGTGGAAGTAATGGTGGCTTACACGTGAATTTGGAAGAAGTGCTGCCGCCGACTCTACGTTAATCTTCCCACACTCAGCGCATCCCTGTGGCCGGATAATTATGTGGACAGTACATCGGCGTGTACTACACACAACTTGCCTCAGAAGTCCACGTGTTCCAGTCTACACTGACGGGTT